CAAACAGCTGACATGTATTACGTCATTTACGTGACTATACATCTACTGAGACAAAAACTGCTTAAACATAGACATCTTTTATATTGATTATGCTTTACAATACCTCCTAAATGTAAATGTTTATAGATATTTGATAGATTTCAGTGACAATTATAATTTCAATTCCAATCCTGTCGCACCTCCTTTGGAAAAATTCTCTTTCCGGTGTCTTCGCAATGTTTGACGTCTTTAAAATTCAGATCTGATGTGTACCATTTTCACTACGGTGATATGGACTGGACACCACTCCCCACCTTACCAGCCCTTATGAATGTCATTTGCATCAATATTGATATCCTATGACATATTTAATTTATTATTTCATGGATAATTTGGTTGAAATTCTTTTAAATCCTAACAATATTTTGTCTGATACATTCGTTTTAACAGAGATAATTTTTAAAAAGCAATTTTAATGTCTCATAAATGACTTTATTAATTTCTGAAAAAGTCCTAATCGAGCTAAATATATCGATTGTATGCAGCGGAAGGGGAAAAGCATGTCTTTTGTCAAAAAATTATGCATGATTATGCTTGTTTTTATTTCTTAAATATACAGTGGATTCACATATGTTAAAATTGCCTTCACTTGTCTGTGTAAAGAAAAATGTTAATTGCTATTGGGAACAGTTAATCTATATTCAGACACAAATAAATAGTTGATTGAATTATGTTTCTTTTTAGAATTACATAGAAATTGCCGAAAACACTCACAACTGTAGCAATACAAAATTTGTCAAAATAAAATTATTTCATTATCTAAACTCGATCCTTATAGATTACAGTTGCGGATCCAGGAATTTAATAACGAGGGAGGGGGTTGTATTGAGGGCAGGGTGTCTGAAGCAGCGTTGAAGCCTCATGGGGGTTGGGAGCAATTCCTGGTAGGGTCTGGGAAACGAATATCTACTATAATATGTGCCCCCCCCCCCCTTTGATTTAGAAAACCAATCGTCATCTTGCAGGAATATTATAATACATTGTCATGGCGGTAAAAAAATATTTCGGAATACTAGTACCTCATACCATACGTGTAGATCTACTGATAAGTTTGTGTTTAATGCTGGTAACAAAAAAAATTAACTAGATCTACATGCTTGTTTTACAAAATACAAGTAAATTTTTAAAAATCAAACGGCGGATTGTGGGGGGGGGGGGGGGGGGGGGGGGAGTAATGGCCCTGGATCCGCCTTTGAATTGCATGTTTCATTTTAACCTGTCTTGAACACAGAGCTGCCTATCTTTCCGCTTTTGGCGTAATCCTTCCGCTTTTCACCACAAAATTTTAAAGTACGACATGCTGAAATGAAATGAGAAGTTCTTATAAAAGTAATTTAAGGAGGACAGATCGATAATGTAAGTAATATACATAGAAGTTACATGTTAACCGGTATGGCGAAGAATCGGGGGAAGACGAAAAGGCACTACTTACGTTAACTTCAAACGGATTGCAAAACGTACGGCCATTTCTATGATCAATTAAGTTTATTTTAACATTGCTTAGAACAAGATAGAGAAATGTGAGTGTTAAAAAGATTTAAAAAAAAAAACAATGTTATAATGTACGATTTGTTTTAACATTCAAATGGAAGCCTTCAATCAAGTGATTTGATACAGAAGAGTTCGATATAGGATACTGGTATTTTACAACACTTTTTTGCCAAAAGATGATTCGAAAAAATAAGGAAAGTTTATGCCTGTTTTGTTTAGTAATGTACAATTTCTGCTATTCTGAAAGAAAATTAAGTATTTTAATAAAACCGAAAAATAGAAAAGCATTATTTAAAAAAGCTGCATAATAATTTTCAATACAACGTTAAAAAAAATCTCTTCTTGAACATAAAGTCAATATCACGTCCAATATGAAGGAGACGCTCGTTTAAATAAGAGGTACATGTATAAATGTAAACTTATGTCGTGTGACTGTTTTTCACTGTATATATTGATTGAAAATTTATCATATTACTATTTTATTAGGGAAGACTGAAGAATTTGGTTATTCAACACATGCCGGCTCATTGTGACGTCATGCTTTTAATGTATTGCGTCATTGATTTCCAAGCAATGTCCCTTGATAAATTTTACGAAGAAAAGTTTATGTGGTTTTCATAACATTCAGATACAGATTTAAACAATAAATTTCTGTAAAAGTATAGATTAGATGATAACACATTCAGATTCTGACTTCAACATTTAATTTCTTTAAAAGTATATATTTTAATGACAAGGAAAAGTCACATCTATCCAAAAACGAAGTATATTCAACTACAGTTTTTTAAAAAAACGGACGTGGCCGCACTTGTGTACAGTTATTTTTTCTCTTGCATATTAGTTACCAAAGTATACTTGTTCTTCCTGCAGAGTTTCGCATATGTACTCGGATGCGGCCACATCGAAATATTAACTTGAAGAGGAGCAAAACGTCCAAAATAGGTGATTTCCGGAATATTTGACCGGTTTTGAACGTTATATACACAAAAGGTCACGTGAATTGAAGAAAATTGATACCTATTTTTCACAAAGGGGAACCTTAACAATAAATTGACATAGTTAAAAAAATGTTATCGTGCGTTTAATTTTTGCCGATTTTACAGGGCCGCCTCGTTATACATACCGTACCCAGTTCTTTGTATTTTTGCCGTTCTTGAAAGTTTTAAGGTAACATCCGTCACTGGGAGGATAAAAATCAATTTTCTGTCCGTCGTAATCATTTCCGGTCAAACCAGAAGTAGCCAAAACTTGCTCATTTTTGCATTAATCAACATAGATTTAGAAGAAAATTCGAACTTAAATAAAATATATTTTCACATAGATTAAATACTACAGACACACTGTTTATTCTTTAACATTATTCAAGCCCCTCACCCTCCCCACCTCCCACCAAAACCCAAAAAGACATTTCAGGCTTTCTGGAAAGCCAAACTTGCTTTCCATGTTTTCATGTTGTAGATAGTAGATAGTTATGTTGATTGTTTTAGTTGAGCATGCGATTGGTATCAATACGGTTGATGATTTTTGAACATTTTCATTACATTTTGAAGGGTACCTACTTGGTTAATAGTACTGCTTTACGCCACATCATGTGATCATCGTTTATCGAAAGCAGGTAATTCTTTGACAGTTCACTGTATTTTTTTTCTGTTTCCATCATATTTTAAAGAATACCTTAGCTGATTTTTTTGCTGTTTTCTCAACATATTTAGTAATTGTTATTGGAAGAAAGAAAAAAATATACGGGAAGAAATAGGATACACATCTTTTTTTCAAAACATTTAATTTTAAGTTTTGTTAACAATGCACAATTTTGAAACCTACAAGGTATAAACACAATTTTTTTCGTAATATCCGTAATAAGTAATAAACCAGACATTAAGCAGTAAAATCAAAAAGGAAAGGAGAACTTCCAATTTCCCTCAATTTTTTTTTTGAATATTCTCTCATTCTAACTTTGGCCATAACCTTTGAATTTGGAGCTAGGGCTTTAATCCTTCACACGTGTATTCATTGTGACAAGACTTTTCAGCTTGTACAAGTAACAGGTTTTCAAAAAGCTTACCCGACTAATGTCATCAATATCCATATAACCTAAAAGCTTGATAAGTTATAAACGTTTATATTGGAGGGGGGGGGGGGTAAGATTTTTTAACAAGAGTAAATTAAGAGGATGCTGTACAAAACAATATGGATTCATTTTTAGTTATATGCTATTCATCAGAGCAAGAGAAAAAAAGCAAATTTTATATAAAATATATATGTATTGTTTGTATCTCAAATTAAAAAAAGAATGCACATGTACATATCCCGCTGTTGATTCGAACCCGCGATGTTAAAGATGAACATCTCACTCCTCGAGTTTAAAAAATGGTTTTAGAGGTTGAAGTCAATAAGGGAAATAAATTAATGTAATTTATTTATGCTGGAAAGTCGTGGCTATGTAAAGATAACATTAATTAGATTCAACTGCATACAGCATAGGCTATGAGGGAGATAGCTGAAAATATGATTACTACAAGAAATTGGGAATCGTAACGTTTATGACTGATATCGAGAATATGTTAAATAATTTCTTGGGTATGCCAGAGCATCAGCGATTGTTACAAACGTTTGATAAATAAAACATGTTACGAATAAATGACCAAACAATCTGAACGGTGATAGATGAATGGCGATAGGCGCGGATACAGGAAAGTTTTCCCAGCGGTGAGGGGTCCACATCAAAATATTGGTATGAACAAGAAAAAAGTAATACACTTAATCCTCAATCCGGAAATGTTATGGGGCACTTTTCTAAGTCTATATTCTGTTTTTGTGGGAGGAAAGCCCCTGGAGGGGGGGGCATCAGATGTATATTTGGCCACTTTATTCTCTTTAGAACTTTTTTGGTCGTTTCGTTTTTATTACTACAAATGATTTAACTTCTAACTGTAGAGTTTGTAGTTTTGTGTAATTACTTTATGTACGGAAGATAACTCTATCTTGTATGTGTTTCTATATATAGAGTTATTGCCCTTGTCTTTGTCTTAGTTCCGGTTCAGTAAATGGATGTTGTCTTCAATGACGAGTGTTTTATAATCTGGTTTAATCCGAATGTGTAGCCGGTGGAACGCTACATAAAATTGGCGACGAGGATATTTAACTTCGAGAAATTACGATGGCCAGTGTTTTGGTTCAAGTTGTGCAAGCAATCCCGCATTTTGATGTTGCAGATGTGACAGGCATTGCATCAAAATGGAAAAGATGGCGTCAGGCATTCGAACTCTACGCTAAAGGCAAAGGCATAAAGGAAGCTGATCAAGCTAAAGTGTTGCTTCTCCATACAGCGGGAATGGAAGTGCAAGATATGTTCTTTACTTTACCGGAGGGAGAAGGAGAGGATGAGTACGCCAAAGCCGTGAACGCCTTGGAAAAAATACTTCAAACCTTAGGCAAATGTTCCGTACGAGAGGTCTGTATTTAGAAGTATGGCTCAGTTAGAACATGAAACTATTGAACAGTATATTACTCGCTTACGCCAGAGAGCAGAAACCTGTGAATTCGGGAACCGGGATGCCATTGATGAGAGAATACGTGACCAAATCATTGACAAGTGTGTTCGTCATAACTTACGCCGGAAATTACTAGAAAAAGGTAGGAACCTTAACCTTACTCAAGTCCGAGAAATCGCAAGAGCCCTGGAAGACTCCGAGAGGCAAGCCACGTCAATTGAAGGTCGTGCGCAAGGGGCCATAACCGGTGTTGTAAACAAGGTCAGTGTTCAAAACAAGAAACATTTTGCGAAAAAGACAAACAGTAAATGTGAAGGACACTTGCGGAATGACCCCAAATGCCCGGCAAGGGGAAAGAAGTGTCATAAGTGTAAGCAGACTGGACATTTTGAGAAAATGTGTAAAACCAAAGACCGTGGAGAAAAGCGGAAACCAGGGAAAATTCATCACATTACGGACCAGTCAGGCCAGAGTGATGAAGACAAAGTGTACGCATTTCGTGTCCACCAAAATTCTGTGTTAAATGACAGCCCGGTTGTGAATGTTGGTAATGTTGACCTCAGCATGATTATTCACTCAGGGGCGAGCTGTAATATAATGGGAATGCCATTATGGAACTATCTGAAGAAAAACCACATAAACTGTGTTTCGTCCAAAGTTGAGAAAAAACTCTATGCTTATGGAAGTCAACAACCTCTGAAAGTGGCTGGGATCTTCACAGCAACTGTGAAATACAACCAAACCGTCATTCCGGATGTGGAATTCGTGGTCATTGAGGGAGAAGGACAAGCCTTACTTGGTCGAGATACAGCTGTGCAGTTGGGCGTGTTACAGATCGTTAGCAGTGTAAGTGAAGCTGTCAATCTGGACAACAGAACTGTTTTTGAGAAATACCCTAATGGCTTCAAAGGTGTAGGAAAGCTGAAATCCTTTCAACTAGAAATACCAATCGATCCAGATGATGAGCCAGTAATACAGCCTATGAGACGTATACCCTACAGTTTGCGCGACAAACTCGACAGGAAGTTGGATGAGCTACTCGATTTGGACATCATTGAACGCGTTGACAAGCCATGTGCGTGGGTGTCTCCAGTGGTTTGTGTACCCAAACATTCAGGTGATGACATTCGACTCTGTGTGGACATGCGCCAGGCCAATACTGCTGTGCAACGAGTCCGTCACCCTATTCCGACAATTGATGAAATTTTGCATGAAATGAATGGTAGTACTGTTTTAAGCAAACTTGATGTTACTTGGGCATATCACCAGATTGATTTAAAACCAGAATCTCGAGAAATTACTACTTTTGTAACACATAAGGGTTTATTTAGATACAAACGTCTTATGTTTGGCATTAGTTGTGCCCCAGAAATGTATCAAAAGGTCATGCAACAAGTGTTGCAAGGGTGTGAGGGGGAGCACAATATTATGGATGATATCATTGTACATGCAAGTAGTCAAGAAAAACATGATACATGTCTTGAAAATGTTGTGAGAGTGTTGTATGAAAAGGGGCTTACCCTTAACAGGGACAAATGTGAGTTGAATATGTCAGAAGTTGTATTTATGGGTCATGTTTTGTCTGATCGTGGCATAGCTCCGTCTGATGCCAAAGTCAAAGCCGTTGTCGAAGCACGCGAACCCAAAACTTCGAGTGAAGTGCGCAGTTTCTTAGGGCTTGTAAACTATAGTTCTAGATTTATTCCAGATCTAGCAACGGTAGCAGCTTCGCTACGAGAGTTGACGCGCAAGAATTCAGTTTTTAGAAGGGGGAAATCTGAACAAGAGTCATTTGTAGAATTGAAGCGTCGTCTGGCAGATGCCAAAACGTTGGGTTACTATGACAAATCTGCGCCGACTAAAGTCATAGCTGATGCTAGTCCTGTAGGACTCGGGGCGGTGCTGGTGCAAGAGCAAAATGGGGAACATCGCGTTCTTTCATACGCAAGCCGTAGCCTAAGTGATACGGAACGTCGGTATTCGCAGACAGAGAAAGAGGCTCTAGCCTTAGTTTGGGCGTGCGAAAGGTTTCATGTTTATTTGTACGGTACAGAGTTTGAGCTACTCACTGATCACAAGCCGCTTGAATGTATATATTCTCCCAAGTCGAAAGTTTGTGCTAGAATAGAACGATGGGTGCTGCGAATGCAACCATACACATTTAAAGTTCGGTACATTCCTGGTCCAAGGAATATCGCAGATACACTTTTGCGTCTTGTTAAGAATGACCCTGCTCAAAAGTCGCTTGATTTGGAGGATGCTTATGTGAGGTTTGTAGCTAAAGAAGCTACCCTGATGGCGATGACAACACGTGAGATCGAGAGAGCGTCAGAGAATGATCCAGAAATGTGTGCTATAAGAGAGTGTCTTGTAAGCCCGCAATGGCATCGTATGGAAGTTAAGGAATATTTGCCAGTGCGTATTGAGTTGTGTTCGATTGGTAAGTTAGTACTGCGGGGTACACGAATTGTTATACCCTTACAGTTGCGTAATCAGGTTCATGAGCTTGCGCATGAAGGCCATCCTGGCATTGTTGCAATGAAATCTCTGCTTAGAAGTAAAGTATGGTGGCCGGTGTTGGATAAAAGTGTTGAAAAATTTTGCAAAAGTTGTTATGGTTGCCAGTTAGTGGGTCAACCGAGTAAACCTGAACCGATGAAGCGCACTGAATTGCCTTCCGCACCATGGCAACATCTTGCCGCTGATCTTTTAGGGCCGTTGCCAAGTAAAGAGTATATATTTGTGCTTGTAGACTATTACAGTCGATATTTTGAAGTCGCGATTACGAAAAATATTTCGTTAGAGAACATAACAGGTCTCATATCGAAGTTCTGTTTAACTCATAGATTGCCGTATTCAATCCACACCGACAATGGTCCACAGTTTGTTAGCGAACATTTTAAGAATTACATGTTCGAAAATGGCATTGTTCATCATAAAACAACCCCCCCATGGCCACAGGCAAACGGCGAGGTTGAGCGACAGAATAGGTCAATTATGAAACGTGTCGGATTGCATTTGCCGAAGGCCGAGATTGGAAATCTGAACTTGACAAATTTCTTGTGATATGTATCGGAATACACCACATTCGACAACTGGTGTTTGTCCGTCTCAGTTACTTTTCGGGCGTAAACTCCGCACGACGTTGCCTGGGCTTTTTGACTATAATGTTGACCTTGAAGTACGCGACCGCGATGCGGAAAGGAAGGAGAAGGGTAAAAATGTATTCAGATAAACGTCGTATGGCAGCCGAAACCGATATTCGTGCAGGTGACCAAGTTCTTGTGAAACAAGACCATGAAAATAAGTTATCTACTCCATTTAACAAGTCACCTTTTAAAGTTGTTAAGATGAATGGCAACAGTGCAATTGTTGAATCAGATCAAGGGGTACAATACAAGCGAAACGTTACTCATTTAAAGAAATTTAATGAGAGAGAGATTGAGAGTATGTGTACATCAAATGATTTACAATGTAATGAGTCACAATCTATTGTTGATGATGAAGTTCTTTATGATAACTCTGAAATGAAACTTGATACAAATGCTGATATTAAGTCAGAGAGTGATTGTAGTTCTGCACCTGTTAATGTTGCAAATGATGCAAGTGTCCAAAATACTGATCTGAATGTCAATCAACGACCTGTTAGAAACAAGAGACTTCCGTCAAGATTTGAAGGATTTGAAATGTATTAGTGGAAAGTATCATGTGTTAACTGGATCATGAACTATTATCTGAGTGTGCATTTGTTATGCATGTTTTCACCATTTATGTTTGTTATTTTTCTTTTGAAAAAAAAATCATATGATTTCTGTTGATACTAAGTAGTATGCCTTAAGTGTAAATTGTATTAGATAGTTCTGGATGAAAATTATGTTTCTGAGCGAGAAAGGAAGGGATGTAGAGTTTGTAGTTTTGTGTAATTACTTTATGTACGGAAGATAACTCTATCTTGTATATGTTTCTATATATAGAGTTATTGCCCTTGTTTTTGTCTTAGTTCCGGTTCAATAAATGGATGTTGTCTTCAATGACGAGTGTTTTATAATCTGGTTTAATCCGAATGTGTAGCCAGTGGAACGCTACACTAACTCACTTAACAATATCACCGCTATGTTTTTTTTCCAAAGCCCCATCAACATTGCGACAAAAAAGAACAGACGCTATGCAGTTTTCAATTCCGGTCCACGGAATAGTCCCGGAAAAGGGCGCAAAAACGTTCACATGACATTTTGGCGCGAAATGGTTGTGTCATCCCTTACCTAGCAGACAAATGGACTAATCCAGTAGCATAGAAATGCAGAAAAAGGTCAAATTGACATGTCCGTATAGGAACTCGCATGAAATAAATAGATGTATGCAAAAAACTAAAGGATATAAATACATCAATATATTGTATCAGTAATAAGGTTATGTTTCTGCTAACTTTTGTTTTTGAAATGCAG